ATTTTGGGTAAAAGTTCGCACATTCTCTAGCATTTGAAGGTTCTTCTTACAAAATTTCAAGGTGATTAGGAATAAAACGAAGAATAATCTGGTCCACGAAGTTGGCCAATTTTTTTATAATTTTTACTGTTTGTTTATAAGTGATGTACATCATTTACCCAAAATAGGGGGACATCTAAAGCGGAGGCACTTATATTTCTTAATAATGTTATCGATTAACTTTAGGGTTAGGGCCATTCTATATTAGGGTCAGGATAGGTTTTAGGTAGTTAAATATAAGCAAAATTGCCTTCCCGACATTTTTGATTAATCTACCCGAGGTAGGTTTAGATGGCCGTTTTTTGTATTTTTCGGGTTTTGGTTTTTATTTTTTGTTTTGCTTCGTCGGTGATCATCAAAATTCTATAATTTGATTGGTGGTTGATCACATGATTTGCCTCCGCTTTAGACGTCCCCAAAATAGGAAATGAGGAGGCGTCAATTGAATAAATTCAATTTACGCCTCCTCATTTCCTATTTTGGGTAAATAATATACATTACTTATAAACAAACAGTAAAAATCGTAAAACAATTGGCCAACTTTGTGGACCAGATTATTCTTTGTTTTATTCCCAATCGCCTTGAAATTTTGTGAGAAGAACCTTCAAATGCTAGAGAATATGCGAACTTTTACCCAAAATTTAAACCGACAACTTTTTTATCATTAAATTATCCTAGAAAGCAAAATTTGCCTAAATTTTACTTATGAAATTTAGGTGTATCGATCATTTGACTTATCTATTAAAATTTCACATGTGACAAATCGGGTATCTGTTAGGGTTACTATGACCCTTAAGGAATTAGGACTTCCTTACGAATTCGAAGTTCCAGCCAATCTTCAAGCTATAAAAACTGATGATTATCTCGCTAATAAACACCCATTGTAAGTATTATCTATTACACATCCTAGATGTTTATATATATATATCATATTGGCGGATTTTTAGATTTAGCAAAATTTTAACAATAAAATTAATAATTCAACCAATAAAATTGCCTAAAACCAATGTTCATGTGACCTATTTTATTGGGTTTTTAATAAAAAAAACCAATAAAATAGGTCACATAAACATTGGTTTTAGGCAATTTTATTAGTTAAATTATTAATTTTATTGTTAAAATTTTATTTGATTTATAGTGATTTTAAGAACCTGTGATTGGATTTTGATGATTTTGGGCTTGTTAGAATCACCTCATCGAGATCATTTTGGTAATAAAACCATTTAAAATAGACTAATAGATTAAAAGCTATTGCCAAATTCAAAAATTTACTCATACATATATAGTAAATTAGATTACTAACAAGTTATAATAATAGTAGAAAAATCCCAGTCCTTATTGATGAAGATTTTACAATTAATGAATCTCGCGCAATTTGTAATTACCTAACATCCAAATACCAAGGCAAACATAATGCTACAATCTTGATTCCTACTGATGTTCATAAAGCCAGATTAGTCTTGCAATGCATTTCTTATGAATTATTTTATTATAACCCACCGATCTTCAAACTTATACAGCAAGAAATAGCCGCTAAAAAATTTTATAATAAGGACCCAGACCAAGTTATTAAGCAAGCTCGTGAAGAACTTGCTAAGGTTTTAGATGTTTATGAAAAGATTTTGGAGGAAAAAGAGTATTTGAATAGCAAATTTTCTTTAGCTGATCTCTTCCACACCCTAGTACTTATTACATCTATAGTATAGAAGCATATTCCGAATTATGGGATAGCAG